TTTAGGTTTTGATATGAGATGTTGGCCCCCAGGTGGAGGGAGAAGAGGGAACTCTAGAGTGAGAGCTAGTATCTTTCTTACCTAACCTGTCTTCAAGACTATTCAAACTATAGATTAGCCAATGTTCATTATAACATCTCTAGTAAGGATATATAATATTATTGCTCTTATTTGATACAACACATTAGAATAATTCCACAAAAGAATTCCTATACTTGTTACAGATTCATGATAAGAAAAAATATATTTTATTTATATTGCCTTCATCTTGCAAATATCTAATTAAGTTAGTTAGTTACTTACTTTATTCTCAACTACCAAAAATTATAAAAAGAATTGAACTTTCATTCCTCTTTTAGTATCTAGAGTTTAAATAAAAAATTTTGTTAAGTAGAATTTTGATTATCTAATTTCTCCTATTTTATAAAGTGCATATTATATTTTCCCCGTGGGTTCGATATTCGGGGCTTATTCAAAAAGTCTTATATTTCTTGATGATGATACGTATACTTGTGTAATATCACATATTAAGTATTATAATTGTATTCTTACTTGCTTTGAAATTAAGAATTTACCTAGCTTCTGCTTCGGATCAAGTTTTTGGCCTTGTTGCAAGTTAATAATTATAAATAAAGAAATAAACATATAATCACATACATCATATTGACATCTATAAAAAGAATCAGGATTGTATTCCAATCTGGAGCCCAACGGAGCTGAAACGGGGTATATTCCAATCTGGAGCCCAACGGAGCTGAAACGGGGCAAAACAAAGCTAAAATAGAGTGAAACAGGGCGAAACGGTGGAGCTGCACATAGGGTGGCGCTATAACATCCAGAATGGTGATATGGGCTATAGCGCCCCTGACTGGCGCTATGGCGCCCAAAACATTTATTGTACGACTTTTGGGCAATTCTGGCCATTTTAGGATGTTCTAGAAGCTTCTAGACAACTTGCACGCCCCATTGAGTGATTCAATGAATCTAGACCATTGGAAAAGTTTTTTTCTGAAGAGATGTGTCTCTTGGAGTGAAAGGGTGTGTCTCTTGGATGCAGAGGCGTGTCTTTTGGAAAAAGAAGGTGTATGGCTTCTCTTTAAATAGAGGGGCTTGACACCTCTCATGAGAAGTCTAGAGAATAAATTAGGAAGTGTTTTAGGAGTTTAGTGTGAGTTTATGGAGATTAGATTTCTTCATTATCTGGAGAGATTGGTGAGATATTTTTGAGAGATATGAGTAAGGAAGTATGAGGGGCGCATGGATCAGCATGAGACTTTGTTAGAGAGATATTCTTCTTTCTTTTATAGGAAAAAATCTTTGTGTTCTTAATTTTCTTGTAATTAATTGTAAACACTTTTTAGTAGATTTTCTTTAATTTAAAAGAAGTTTTCTTTTGTGTTTTATTCATGCTTCATAAGTAGTTTTCTTTATGCTTTTCTTTTAATATGAAGTAGTGTCATGTGTACGAAAATTAGTTTTATGTTAGAATTATTTTATTTTCATGTGATGAATAATATCTCCTTTGAATCATTAACATAACTTAAGTGACAATAAGTTATGTTAAAATCTATTGTAAGTAAATTATGTCTCGGGAGAGCCGTAATTTTGCAGCTTGAGTGCACTCACATTGATAGGTTGGCTAAAGAAATAGTTTATATGGCAATGCAAATTTTAAGAAAATATAATTTAATGATATATTTTTGTTAGATGTTTTTAGGTGACAGATAGTTGCATAAAATTAGTAGAAAACTAAACGTACTTATATGCTTGAAAGAGGATAGGAAGACATATGTTCCTTGTTGGCACATAACTTATTACTTAATTCTATCAATTCTCTTTACTGTTGTATCATTATCTTCATTTTACTTTTCTTTTGTAATGAAATAGATGTATGTTTATGAATTTAGATTTGCTTAAAAATCTTCTTATTTTATTAACATGATGATATTTTCACCAGCTCTTAATAGACTTTGCAAACTGATCACTTGTGAGGTAAAAATCTGTTGAGAAACATAATGACCCAGAAGGACTATGATTTCATCCAACTAGTGAATATCAAACATTTATTCTGGGAAGAGCCATGCCGATCACTTAAGGGGGAGTGCAAATAAACAGAGAGACAGGTTTTTATGGGCGTAAAATTATTTAGTTTTAGAGTGACAAGCTAGATTTTTATGAAGAGGCTAAAAGTTCTGATGCAAAATCAAGATGTTAAGGAATCAACTTTAAGTTAGCCAATGTTCTTTGCTAGCACCGGGAGGGGGTAAAAAATATGTATGCTCCTATTTTTCGCTGACTACATTAAATTTTAAGCATTTCATTCCTTCACATTATCTGGGTAATTGCACAAGAATGGTAGTCTTTAATATTTCAAAATTCTCCAGACCAATTTATCCAGATAAGTTATCTTTTGAATTAATACTTGTATTTATGAATAGTTGTTATCCTTACATTTAATATTTGTATTTAGAAGTAGTTGTTAGATAAAACATCATCTTAATCGACCTTCTAAACTAAGGCCTGATAAACTAAGGCATGATAGTAGTATATTAAAATTAGCCTAAGAGATTTCTTACTTCGCTTCTCTATCGGATCGATACTGGGGTCTTAAAAAAACCCTATATTACTTGAAATGATACATATACTTGCGTAGTATGCCAAGTGTGCACACCAACCGCTAAATATAAATTGGTTTAAGTTTTTAGCCATCTTTTGGAAGCTAAATTACTGCGTAATTGCTGGTCGGGTCAAACCAAACCATCATCTATTCTTGTACCTGTTGTTGAATCTCTTGATTTACAAATTCTTTATTGAACTCTATTGTGTTGGGATCTCTCTGTTGCATTTCCACTTAGTAATTTGGTTTGCTTATAATTTAAGACATGTCCACGCTCACTGCACCCCCTTTTAAGATACTGAATCTTATATTGTTTTCTTGTGAAACACACCCTGAGAGTTAGAGCTAAAAGAAGAGAGATGAAAGAGAGAGAGATAGAGAGAGAGAGAGAGAGCTAGAGAATGTAAGAGTATCTTTTAAGTGTCAGAATACACAAGCACGAGGATCCAAAAGCAAAAAAAAACCAAAAAATGGTCCTTTTATTGATGTTATTACCTCCTATTTATAGGGGTCTCTAAATATAAATACATATAAAGAAAAAATAGTTTTCATATCTGCCTAAATGATTGAATTCAAATTATATGGTAATGAATAATAAATGGTTTCGTCTGGTCGATCATCTGAAGCCTTGAGGTTGGTCGTCTATATGAGTCGATCGTCAGATGTGTATGTCAGTCAGCTCTGACGGGTGACCATGTCTTCTTATAGGTATCATGTTTGCTTGATCAAGGACGTGGTCGTTTGAACGAGACCTTTTGATTATTAGTTCTATCGCATGGAGGGTTCCGTCAATAGGAGTCTCTGCTAGTCAAATTACTATTTTGGTTGATTGGGCTATGAAGTCGATCATCTGCTTACTACCAAATTCTCTATTTTGTTGTCTGGGACTCATATGTACGGTTCTGTCCCTATCTGTTTGATTGCTTCAAGATTTGTGCAAACATTTTTCGTTTATAATGATATTCTATTTAATGTATGGCTTCAAGTAAACCGAGATTTTGCTATATATAGCTTTACAGTCGAATCTTACACTTTTCTTTGAATACATCGAGTCTTACTGTCTTCTCAAATGTTGCATTTCTAATGGGTCATTTTTTTATCCCGTTGAGCAGGAACGTTCTTCACATTCTAACACACTCTATTACTTTTATAGGCAGAATCATAAAATGTTACTTTCTAGCACTTGTGAATATTATTGCTTACTGTGTTTTTGGTTGGATCGGAATAAAAGAGTTCTCAATGAAAACTCACTGTTGTTTATGCCTTAATGCACAACGATATACATGATATTAAACAAAAAGCAACAAATGAAATCTATAGGGAAATGTCTCTAAACTCATAGGCATGTCATAATATATTTAGTTCAATAGGATCTACTTTCATGGTTTTATACACTGATATATGCTCTATTTTTCTGTTTCATATAATTTTCATCTTTCGACCTTTGTTTGAAGAATCTTGGTGAAAATGGTTGTTGCTCATAATTTTTCTAGAATATTTGATTATTCTATTCCATTTTAATATTTTGAGATCACATTTATATTGTGGTTGCCCATAGCTGTTGCATTCCTTTGGACATTTTTCTTACACCCAAAGCTTATACTTATGTGGATTATAAATTGCTGCTTGCTATTTTCAGCATCGTGCTTGCTTCTCACCATGTGGATCTCATGGTGCTCCATTGATGTACATGTCAGAATACTAGATCACATATTGTTGCTTTCTTCTACACTAGTTTGTTGTAGCCTTTATTTGAATCAGAAACCGTGCTTCTTGGGCTTACAATTTTTGCAGGTTTAGTGCTGGTTGATTCTAATAGTCCTGGAAGAATAGTTTTGGTTTTTGGCTTGATTTGGTGATCAATGATGAAAATCATTTCTAATAAGGGGGTTTTACATACAAAACATCCTAAACTTTGTTCGCCGAGCTACCACTGCTTTACCATCGCCCTCTACCGAAGCAGACCAAGGAAATCAACACTGATGAAAAAGTTAACGGAGGAGGATGAAATGTTATTTCTTTGTTTGTTAGAAGATTTTAGGTTTTTTATATGTAAACACTTAATTTTAGATGTGATTTATGTAAAGAAGGACTCCGTGTCTAGAGTCCAATAAAATCTCGCCAGTGACAAAAAAAAATTTCATTTTAGCTCAAGGGAATATTATCCTCTGTTATTTTGTATTATTCAGATGCGTGGAGGTGACAAAAAAAAATTTCATTTTAGCTCAAGAGAATATTATCCTCTGTTATTTTGTATTATTCAGATGTTATTGTGGTGTTATTTATGTATTATTGTGTTTTGAGAATATCTGAAAAAGAATAAATATATATAT